TTAGGTGTTGCGGGTACCTGTGTCTTCTTTCCGAATCAGAAAGATCTGGATACGCCATGATAGTGCCTAGGCCAAGTCTGGTTCGAGGCGATGACAGGCCAAAGACTCGTTTTCTCTGGATCGAGGGCGGCGCCTTAGATTTTCTGGTCGAAAGGTTGTCTTCTGAAAGGTCGTGTAGGCAGGCTGGTGATGGATGCACGCAGTTAGGAAAGAGATCGGATCCAGGAAACTGTTTGCAGCGATGAGGATGATGCACCGAGATGGGTCTGGATGGAAAAAGGAGGGTGTTGTACAACTGTCGTCTGGCAAACACTAGCGGGCGCAGGGGTTGTTGATGGAGGACCTGGCTGCGGAAAATCTTCTTACTAGAAATCCGGTTGTCAGCCAAAACGACAATACCAGATCTCTGAGTCGAGGATATGTGATAGCCGAAGGCGATGGGTGTGTCATGCGCCAGTATGTAATGGTGGTGGTGCTGATGTCCACGGCGGCCAGGCATGCGACGACGAATCGCCGAAGGAGCAACGACACTCACAAGGAGGCGGTGCGCGGGAGGTCCCTCCAGCAATTCATCTGAAACGCATCTACACAAAGTTTCAACCGCTCCGCTCCGCCCCGCCCCAGCGATCTTGTCGATGCGACCCGATCGTAACGCTCGACAGCACTGTTTCCGCCAAAGACAAGATCTATTTTGTTTGCAATGAAGCCTTGGTCTGGATTGCACGTCGCAGGATTGTGACATCGTTTCTGAACCGATCCATGGACTCCTTGAACGTGCGCCGGAGACAGCAAAACTCCGTTGGTTTTTTCGACGAAGCGGTGAGCAACCGCTTCGGTCGGCTTCAGTGAGGTCCTCCCTTGGCGCGATACGATAGGCTCCGTCACCCACTAGCTTAAGGGGTGGCAACATCATCCAGGAGAAAAGAGGAGGTCAATGATGAGGTCTGGGTGTGAGGGTGACCATACCTAGGTACCATCCAGCCAGCAGCAGTAGCACGAGGCTGCGTGATAGTCCTATGTGTCCCATTGTTGTTCTGTATAACGTGTAGACGTTGCCCTTTTCGCTGAGCCGTCGTGATTGGACCTGCGACAGGCCCGCTCCATTGATCCTTGTCTCGACATTGGGATCGCGCTACGGGACTGATAGACTGGAAATCGTGGCGGAGTGCAAGGCAGACTGTAGGCACCATCAGTATCACCTTCGTTAACATGGACAGCGTGAAGCCGTCTTATGAAGTTGCTTTAGGGGTACACTTGGTTGACTTACCATGGTGAGGGGCCAATTCAGCCTAGGAAGGCTGTATTGGGTCCAAGGATAAACGTGCAGGATAGTAACGATCCAGAGCGCTCGATGCGCCACTGACATTCTGCGTGTAGTAGGAGTTCGTGAGTAACTCGAAAGCAGCATCAAGTTCTAAACTGTAGCAGAGACAGACTGCCTTTATCAATCAACCGCTGACCAACTGGCCCCAATATGAAGGGTACCCCTTCGACGCCCCCACCACATGTCACTGGCATGTTGGAGCCTTCCTATATGAGGTCAGCCACCTTGGAGTGGAGGGGCGGGTCCGCGTTCAGCGATAGCTTCATGCGGCGGTTCTGCAACAGCGACTAAAAACACTCGACGCGTCCTCATCTTCAAATGCTTGCGTCCCGAGCGGTATTGGACAGCCACACAGCTTAGTCCAGCTTACTTCGATACCTGGCCAATCGTGCGATACTGTTGTGACAGCTATGGCATTCAGCCCCCAAACAACTTTGCAGCCTCTACGAAGTGGATGTAGGCTAACGGAGTTATGTAACAACTCGCGCGCGTGGATAGCGCCGTCTTTGCCTAAGCGCCGTTCATACCTCTGTAGAGTGCCAATATCCGGCCACTGTGTGGACATGCTAAGCCACTGTGCATATGTATGCCATCTCAGCGCAGCCCTCACGCTGAACGGTCGCCCACTGATCAAGAAGGCCATCTAGGCCGGCGCGACGGGCTGGACACACGATGGATCTCAGCACGGCTTGATATCGCCTGTTACCACAAATCCAGCTAGCTGGCGCAGCAGCGGTTACCGAGACATGTGTAGAAGGGACATATTACAAGATCTGAGCGCTGCCTAGGTAAGATATTTCCGCCGGCTGGGGTTGTCTATGCTGCAGAAGCCACCGAACTGATCGGTCGATACGAACACCTGTTCCAACATTGGTTTAGGGGTCTCGCTCTTCTCAGCTAGCTCTAGCGAACACCAATCAACACAACCAACAGTCAGTCAATGTGCGGGCCGCATTCTTGGTGTATGCCGCGACTCTGCCGCAATATAAGTAGACAGAGGAAAGAAGAGGTATGGCTCGAGACCAGAATCGGCTTTGCGCTGCATAGAGACAACCCTGGAGCGGATGAGCGGCTAGATGCCCAGGTGAGGCGTAGTTCTAGCCCCACTCATGCACGCCTATCTCTCGACACCATCATCCTTCCAAAGGATGGAGCCGATGCATAAGAAGGGTGTCGTCTGAATTACGTATCCGTCACTAGGTGATGCTGTTTGCAAATTTTTGCGATGTTGGTACATGCACGGCTCCGGAGGTCTGAGGTCAGTGTCAGTGTGTCGGCATTAGGCGCGCCGCCAGGGCTGGCCCCAACGCGACGGGAAGCTATTGCGAATGGCGTTTGCAATACCGCTGACCCAGTGGGCTGGCATTGCTCATCGCACTTGGTAATTGGACGGGACAGTACGCGAATGCGACCGGGCTGGTGGTTCGTTCTTCAGGGATCGATAGCCTGCTTATGGCCCATAAGTTTGAAGGGAAATCTCACTGCGCCACTGTCTTTGGGGGCTCCGCACGCGATTCTGAAGTGTGTTCGCGAGTAACCTTGGGTATATATATATTGAGGACTGCGCCGCTGTGATTTGGATGGTAGTCAAACCCCTGCGTGTGATTATGTGGTGTGCCAAACTCAACAACGCCGTTTCATGACCCCGAATTGCGTAGGCACCAGCGAAAACTCAAGATTAGGGTGAGAACTCTCACCGCCGGTTACATCCTCTCAAGAATGGCTCCATGACATCAGCTGGAACAATTTCGGTAAACTTCCTAAGACTAAAGAGATCAAAAACTGTGAACAAAGAGTGAGTTGTCAAAGATCGCTGCAAACGTCAGGAGCCCTTGCGCAAGGAGCAACCCTCCGCAGCCACAGAGAATCTACGCGGAGCGGTGATAGTTGCCGCGGGCCGCTCGATCTGTTCACCTCGCAACTGCCGTACTCGGGACTGACTGCAATTGGGATGATAGCGTTGCGTTCGAGTTGTGAGTACAAGGGCTTGCTCGATTCAAAGCGAACTGCATGTGCCACGAGTGCCGAGTACGGCACTAGCTGCGCGATTGTAATGATGGCGCTGTGTGCGAGTCGTGGGGACGAAGGGCTTACTTGATTGACAGCGAACTGCATGTGCCTGAACGAGAAGATCTCGAAAAGTATCAAATCACAGTGCGAAGATGAATTCTGCACTCCGCGGACGAAGAGGGGCGAACCTATGGCGAATCATAGACGGTGTCGATGTGATGTGATTTGAAGCGCGCTTCCACAAGCGAACATTTACAACTCCGAGTCCAGTACATGATACTTCTACTATCATCGTCATATCTTCCCATAAAGGTGACTGGAAATGGGTTTACTGGGCGGCGAAGTATCGGCTGTGCTGACCACCATCGAATCTACGCCCGTCGGGCAGTAAGCACAGTCATGAAGGCCGCAATGGCATATGTGACTGTGATAGGATCGACTCTAGATATTTATGTAGTTCTGATTTGCTCCGCCTCTTCCAGACGCAACGATCTTACTCACTCTGGACCGGAGAGTCAGAATTAGGCAAGACTGACCACGATGCCCGATTCCTGTGATGCAGCCGTCTGCTATCTAGAGCCAATATGTGTAGATGTGGTTGATTGATTGCTGTGCATTGGATGTAGTGAGTGGAGTCGCTTGTGACAAGGGATGTTCCTTCGTCATGGCGCATTAAATCCAGTGTCCAGACTATCGACCTCTTTCGAACTTATGCCCCGTCGAGGCGTGCCGCACTCTTGCAGGTTGATGTAACTTCCTGTGTAATCTGCAAGACTAGCGATTAGGGAACGGGGCCGAGAAAGGGTAAGATCAGACAGAACGCATGCGGTCGTCTTCGCGGCCTGGAGAAGGGTGTGTAGTTATAGTCCATGCTTACCCCGATCTGAGACAGTCAATCCCTTTGTTCTCCTGCATTGATCGGTCTCAAAGCTTCTCCACATATCTGACACGCTTGACATCTCTGCGAAAAGATGAAGTGCTTCCAACGTGCCGGGCCACGACCCATGATTGCCAACGATAATAAGCACTGGGACGAAGACAGTGAGCGACGTGCTTACAATGATCGGATCAGTTGTATGCGGAAGATCGAGTACCCAATGCTTGAAGGTATGCTCAGACATGATACATCTTTCACATGTCACTGACGGCACCTAGATCTGACGTACCTCGATCATGGCGGCACGACGCTCGCACCCAAGTCTTTACTCAAGTCCTTCTGCGACGAGATGCAAAGCACTCTCCTCGCCAATCCTCACTCTGATTCATCCAACCCGAGTGTGACTGCCGTCATGGTAGAGCAAACCCGGCTTGCTGTCTTAAAGATGTTCAGCGCAGACCCCGTTCACTTTGATGTTGTCTTCACCGCTAATGCCACCGGTGCCATCAAGTTGGTGACAGAGGGGTTCTCTGGATACGAGGAAGGATTCAATTACTGTTATCATCGTAACAGCCATACAAGTCTGGTTGGTGTCCGAGAGCTGGCCAATCGTAGCCACTGTTTCGCATCCAATGAGGAGACAGAAGACTGGCTCGCCGGAACAAACGACTGTCCCTTCAAAGGTCCTCTTGCGGAGAGACCATTGTTGTTTGCTTATCCAGCGCAGTCGTAGGTGGCCTTGCACTTGATGGAAGAGGAGTTGACACTGACGTTATCATCCACAGGAACATGAACGGCGAGCGGCTTCCGCTGGATTGGACAGGCAAGCTACGCTTGTCGTTACACCATCCGAACTCATACTCTCTGCTTGACGTAGCAGCCTTGGTATCCACGACCCCAATCGACTTGAGTAACCATCTCTTCGCCCCCGACTTCATCTCGTTATCCTTCTACAAGATCTTTGGGTTCCCTGATCTCGGTGCTCTGATTGTCCGGAAGGCGGCTGGCCATGTGTTCGATCACCGGAAGTACTTCGGCGGCGGCACGACAGAGATGACAACCTGCCTTGGAGAATCATGGGTAGCCCGCAAGGACTCTAGCCTCCACGCACGGTTAGAGGACGGGACGATCGCTTTCCGGAATATTCTTGCTCTGAAGTGTGCTATAACGACTCATCGCGCGTTGTTCGGCGGGCTTGAACAAGTCTCGACACACGCTAGGTGGCTTTCTAGCATCCTTCACGATCGTTTGACGAGCATGATGCACTACAATGGTGCACCAGTATGCCAAGTATACAAGTCGATAGACTCTGACTATCAAAATTCGCAAAGACAAGGGCCGACAATAGCTTTCAACATACAGAGAAGCAATGGCGCATACATCGGCCCGTGGCACGTTGGAGCGTTCCTCAGGGCGAGTAGGATCCACGTTCGCACGGGCAACGTGTGCAATCCTGCAGGTATGGCATGTGCGCTGGGTGTAGAGGCTGGATGGATACGGGGTGCGTTCGACGCAGGTCTTCGATGCAATACAGAGGCCGATGTTGTGGACGGAGTGCCTTTTGGGATAGTCAGGGTGACCCTGGGGGCCATGAGTACCTTGGAAGATGTTGAAACGCTCGTGAGCTGTCTTTCGCGGAACGTCGTAGAACAACAGGGGCTCCTTCAAGAGACTGCGCAGGTTCGTGATAAGAGCAAGGAGTGGGTAGAAGAGTCTAGAAGTCCCTCCGCTGTCTCGGAGATGACTACGACCCGGATAGACCCCTCCTCCCTAGGTCATGGGGAGCATGCGACCACATTGAAGAACCCGAGGAGCTTGATTTCGTGGCTGAGGAGGAGGAAAAGGTTGTATCCGCGCTTTCATGGGAGAAGGCACATTGGTTGAAAGGTAGTCGGTGAAGAGCATAGGTATGTTTTCGGTGGTCTTTCGCGCCTGATCCTAGCTCAGCTATTAAATAACGACGTCATGATATTCCTTTCGCACTGGTCTCCTACCTAGGTACTCGTCCCTTTGTTGGTCTCCACATCATCCATATACATTCGGGCAATTTGTCGTGATTGGTTAGGCGTGGGCCTTTTGATGAAATTGGAATGGACAGCAACGATCGCGGAGAGCCGCCGTATCCTGCCCATGTGGCACGTGAATGCGACAAGTAAGCTAGTCCATAAACAGCTTAGCGTGGTTTTCGTATCCAACCAGCCTCCCCAGGCGGGCTGAATGCACCCGCATGCGCGAACGCGATACACAACCGGCAGATACATGGAGATTTCAGTGTACATGTGGTAAGCAAAAGACATGTGCTTCTCAGATTAGCTTGTGAACAGTGGATTTGTCGTGTGGCTGCTCTACCTAGGTACCCCCGGAGCTAGGCCAAGCCCGCGCGAGCTGCAGATGTCTGGTGGTTTGACGCCACAATACTGAATGAATGCAGGTAGTGTCTTGGCCTGACAGACATGGTAGTCAGGTGCGGCTCGTTTCGCCGTCACTTTGAGACTCTCAGTACCGAAAAGCTTGCCTTTCTAGAGTAGGTAGTGGACAGCTCAAATCGCAAGGGCAAGCGCTGCGAGCTCCCTGAACCTCACTGTCAATGAGCGCCCAGCTGTCAGATCTTCTACTGAAGTCACGATCAAAAAGTGGGAAACCATAGATTGTCTAAGGTGAGTGTGCCGATTCGAACTTGATTGGCCCCATGCCGCTGTGTAAGTATGCACCTGGGCAATCACTCGCTACATATTGAGCGCTAGTCCCGAACTACAGCAACCACTACGAATGTTGCACTCAATATGCGAGGGTTAGGAGCCCCGCACTTCGATCGAGATAGCGGCTTTTCCCATTGCCGATTACGATTATCCCTGGCTGAGCTGCGAACTCCTTGCCTTGCACCAACACTTGGCCAGAGCGGAAGCGGCTCTGCGATTGACGGGCAATTGGCGAATCGATTCCGAAGGCATAGTGTCGCGTGTTTTCAACGGCTGTAGCGACAGAATCGGTTGCCATCAGTGGCAGTGTGGTCATATACACATGCGCGTTTCTGAATACGGTTCCTAGGCCTACTGGAAGCCGTCAGGGTCAAGATGGTGGCTTGTCAGTACGTTCCTAGGATTTGGTGTTTAACGTAGCAGTAATCTAAAGTATGCGTCGAGGGCCAAGCGAGGATTTTCAAAGGCCTTCTTCCACGTAGCTATCGATGGTGCCGGCAGTGGCAGGCCGTGAGGCTCTGTGGTAGCCCACAGAGCACGCACAACTTCAGAGGCAAGGCTGGCTGTCAGCAGATTGACAAGGATAAGACAGAATTCATCTACCACTCTGTCATGCCGCATCTCGCCAACCGTGTGTGGAACCCTGACGGTTATGTGTGTTTGCAGTTACCGAAAGGGTTGCGCCCTGCCAGCCCGCATCCGCCATGCAGATGTTGAGAGCCGGAGGCGTCCATAGTGATCCAACCATAGACATGACCGCGTACTCAGGCAATCTGGTATAAGCGCAGCTGCCCTTCCAGATCCTGTCGCACTCCCGAAGGGAGTCTATTCACCTCAGACCTTTTCTTCGTCATGAATTGTGCTCGCCAGTGCCACGTCTTCCACGTGTGGAGCCGCTCGCAATTCACTGGAACGATCCAGTCGTCAGCCTGTATATGCACTCAAAGGCGCCTCGAGACCCAAGCGTCAACCATGGGGTTCCTAGCACTCGCTTTACCCGCTATACCTGCGAATACAGCAACTGGCTCATGCGTGACGAGGAGGTCTGCCTCGCGCTCAGCCATGACCATCGGTTGCAGTACAGCGGACGATCCAGGATAGGGGTGACGTGGATGAGACATGGTAAGAGCATTCTAGATCCAAACTTGCATTCGTTCGTAGGTTTGCCTGCTGCTGGTGGAGGTGCGAGAGATCCTAGGCGGGTATCTTCTTGCTGACGCGTGTCATCAGTGGCCCGTTAGCAGGCTCAGTCGACACAGCGCCGCGGTACTGTGGCCGGCTTTCCATCGCTGACACGGGCACGGCAGGACTGGAACCATAGAGTCAGGAGTATCTTCAAGTCGATGCACGCGGTCAGATTGTCTTCTTCATCCGTTCGAAGAGTGTCGAACCTTACGCAGTCTTCACTTTCGAAATACCGCCCGTCCACCCCAACCCGCCTTGGGCTGACCTGGTTGATGCTCTTTTCCGCGCGCACCTGCACAGCCACGTCAATGCTAGTGCACTCGTTGGTACTGGACGAAAAGTGAGGCAGTCGGCCAACACTGGTTCAGGTTCTTGACATCGACGTCCTAGCGAGACCAATGTCGTCAGGTGTTACTGTCAAGCTCGAGGCGTTCTCTTGGCGCTGGTCGTTGTTGTCGGGCTCGCAGTGGTGACCATCGGTGCGTCACCCTATACCTCCGAAACACATTTTTGTTGCTGCTCATTGCACACTAGACGCCCCTCTCTTGAGATCAATCTTGCTCCGCTACCTGTCTTCTTCCAGAGTTGCCAGCGTCGCCATCGCCGCCTAGAGTACCTCCGAATTCGACTGAGAGTGCAGCCTTCCTGCTCATACCTCCGAGTCGCTACACCACGACACCCAAGCCTCCAGAAGGTTTTCCTCCACGAGGAGCTTGACGAAGAGCACCCTATACACAACAACAGTGGCATGGAATGCGATATTGGACCCGACTGGCAGAAACGCTCCAGCAGTCTCGATACACAGATGAATGTGTTTGGCGCAACGGGTGATCTGAGAGAGTCAGCAGCGAGGCAACTGATGGCGGAAGACCAAGACCAAGAGCGAACAACGCCAGGGCATCCTGGTACTATCGGTCACCTCGAAAGCTTTGCGTCAAGATCGAGTGTACCAAGTCGTGAGGCATCTCGGAACGTCGGCGGCCAGCACATAATCCAACATTGGCAGTATGGCATGCCAACGTACGACGCACGTAGCCCGGATTGGAACTACATCGACTATGCAAAATCCATGATGCCTATGCTGGCTGACAAGTATGAACGGATTCCCCCAACACAGCCAGCGATGGGATGCAATGATCAATATCCTCAGGCAAACTATTGTCCAAGCGAACCGTGGAACGTGTCAGTGCTGTCGAATTCCCGAACGCATTCCCATCATAGACGTAATGCGGTACCAACCATCAGCATCGACTCGCCAAATGGCGAGAGTGGAGTGACTGGTTCTAGAGCTGCAGGTGGGTGCACGTCATACTGCGACGCAGCAGCGACCACATCAACATTGTCAACGTACTGTATGTCAGAACATGAAGCACAAGTGGAAGATTGGTCGGCGTCGTATCTCTCTCCGGAGACGAATGATCAGGCTATTTTATCTCGACGGAGCTCAATGGGTTCGATAGCCTCCGCGCCGAGCCGACTTGCAGTGGTGCCATCTGATCACACGGCAACACCTACGGAGTATTGTGGCTGGCAGTCACCCAGTACGTCTCCCAAGTAAGTCAGTGTCTTACGCAAGTCAAGAGAAAACGCTGAACGTTGTACAGCATCATGGACCCACACGAAGTCCAGCAACCCCGATACGACGTGACTATGCCTTCGCCATCCACGGGTAAGAGCCGCGAGACTTCAGCACAAGATGAAGCCCCGCTCTACTGCTCTCAGCGTGGCTGCCATGCCACATTCCAAGGGTCCTACGCGAAGGGCAGTCTTGCACGTCATCGGCGACTGAAGCATGGTAGCCATCAAAATCGAGATGTGCGGGAATACGACTGTGAAGAGCCTGGATGTTCGAAGAGCTACAAGCGTCAAGACGCACGCTTGAAGCATTATCGCAAGGTCCATCGCCACCTCGCTCCTGGCCCGGCATTATCGCGCACCAAGTACCGATCCGTGTGATTGTGCTGTGGCATGTACACCGAGCTCTTCATCGCTACGCAACCGTCGCAAAGATATCAAAACTGATATCAGATCACTCCTTGATCTCTCATTGCCGTCGATGGGACTTTGCTTGGTCGCACCCAATCCACAATCTTGAATCTTCTCTTTATTGTCTTTGTGTTGCAATGACACGTTGCGTATAAGTTCATGTCGTTCGAGAAAATCATTGTGCTCTCAGTCCATCGGGACCATGAGTACAGCAAAAATATTCTAGGCGTCTGGCGTAATGGGTGCATACGTTCGATCGAGGCGGAGGAACGCGGAGCGTCGAGAAAGAAAGGCAAGAGGCTTCTTGTTGGCGAAGCCGTTTCCTTTAGCGGAATGGCGGTTATTGGCATCTTTGTGTCGTTGACATCGCGAGGGTCGTGAATGGCTCGTTGCCTATGGGTCATCGTCTTGTTCATCGTACGCACCATGGAACAGCGATGGCGGTTGAACAGGATACGCGTGCGTAGGGGCGAGGTCCATCGTGGCGTCGTTGGGGCTACCTAGGTATGCTAGGGACGAAGGTGTCGGCGAGAGGAGGTTAGCAGTCAAGACATCGCCAGGTCGGAGCGTCAGCGAGGCTCGCCTGCCCGCGGCGGCTTAATTTTACTGGACCAGCAACACGCACCATGGCACCTCAAAGGACGCGCTCATCGACTTGTCGACTCAATCGAAAGGAGGGCTTGCCACCTGAGCAGCGCTCAAGCCTGCCACCCGCCTACTTTTGGTCTTTTGCCTCATTCTGGTGTCAGAGACGAATGGCACCCTGCGGACGATCTGCAGTAACATGCCAGTGCTTGGCCGCTGAGAACCCCGGGAAGGCCCATGAACACCGTACATGACACGACCGGGCTGTACAAGTTGTCGCAGTATGATAGGTTGAGGATGTTGAGAATTCTATACAATGAACTTTCCAAGATCTGTGGTGGTTGCGCGGCGAAAGGGGAGGCGTGATGAAGCTTGGAAAGGAAGAACGATAGGGGTCCACGAGCGCCTGTGGCGACTGTGCTACGCAAG